TAGCAGAGGGCGGGTGCAATAGCTAGTTTGCTATTGGCTATTGCAAAGTGAAATAGCCAATAGGAATCTAGCTATGCATTCCTATGGTGAACTTTTAGTTTTTTTGTTTTATTCTGACGGCAGCAGAACCGCCCGGCCAATAGAAAACAGTTGGGTGGAGCTAGCTGTCACTGCTAGCTCCAACCCAATCGTTATCTATTTTATTTTTTACTACTTTTTTAACTGTTTTTCTATTCTGCTCGGTACCACAGAGGTAACGAGCAGAATAGCCGAGGCGAATGCCGCTCGGTGGCATTCGGCTATTCACGCACTGCTGTTTGGCATCTATGAAATTGGCCGAACAGCAGCGAGTAGCCTGCCGGAGGTTCGGCTTAGCCGATCCAGATGTTGGATCGGCTTAGTCGAACTCCTTCTGCACTTCTGAAATCAGCCGTACAAGCCTGAACTGATTAGCCGAACAGCTTTCAGCTCACTTCACTACGGGTCGTTGATTCACTCAGCTGCCATAGACACACCCAAGATTTGAAATGTACTTCTTTTTGGATAACCCATACTTACTAGACATGTGCACTGCCAAAAATTTTGTTTAGTTTCGTTTCGTTTTAAATTCGGATTTGTGTTATTTCGTTTTTCGGGATTCGGGTGTGAAAGTCAATTCGGATTTGGAATTCGGATTCGGACGAAATTCGGTAGCGGTAGTCCGTTCGAACGTTCGTTTTCATTTCTTATTCGTTTCGTTCATTCGTTCGTTCGTTTGCAGCAAAGTGACATTTGAGGGGGAAAAATGTTTTTCTCCTTCTCTAATGTCACTTTGCTCCAACGAACGAAACGAATAAGAAACGAAAACGAACGTTCGAACGAACTACCGCTACCGAATTTCGGAAACGGAAATTCGGATTCGTTTGCATTTGTTTTATCTGTAATTCAGATACATCCGAATGTCCGAATTTCCGAAAATTCGTCCGAATTTCGATTCGGAACGAAACGAATCGCACATGTCTAATACTTACCACCCTGGCAAGCTCGAAGGTCCAACACACCAGCAGCTGTACAGTTCCTAGACAGCACTATTTCTGTGCAATAGCAGTGATTGTCTGGATTGATGGTGGGTGAGTCAAAAGCACTTTTTGGTACTATAAATCGATACAGTTTAATTCCTTTTAGTATATATTCCTTTTCAAATACTCCATATATGGATCTATAGAGAGAAAAAATAGATATTGTATTATTAATATTTGTAATGTTTACTATTGAACACCAGAGGAGCAGCTAAATAGATGGAATAATAATATATTATAACAGAAGCTATTTCATAAAAAAAGTAAGAATGAAAAAACACAGCCTTAGAGTAAGATAAGCGACCAACAGACTGCAGGAAAATTGGTGCATTACTCATGTAACTGACTTCCCTGGGCTAGTATTATTATTATACAGGATTTATATAGTGCCAACAGTTTGTGCAGCGTTTTACAATATAACGAAGACATTACAATTACAATACAATTCAAGACAAGTTGTTACCATCCTGCCCGTGAGGGCTTACCATCCAAAAGGGAGGGGCAAGTGATACATGGGCAAAATATGTAGCAGCATATTTAGGGCCTTTGTCAACTATCTCTTGTTAGTGTCAGAACTGCTTCTTTCCCTATAAAAGTCAATGAAACTACAAAAGCAGCTTGTAGGAGGTGGATGCAGCCTAGAAGCAGGTTAAATGCAGATCAAAAGGAGGACAACTGCAGGTTGTGTCTGTCAATGAACTCTGAATGATCTGAGTGTGTAGAACTGATGTAAAATTCAAGAGGAATACAAGAACAAGATGTTTTTTGCCAATAGACTCAATCTCAAAGCTCATTAACAGAGGCCCTTCAAATTATTGAATTATTGAATTAATGTTTTTATAGCGATGTGCTACTCTCAATATTTCAGCTACATTTTCCTTCAGTATTTAACAGTGTAAAGTAGAAAGTTCCAAATAAGACAGACATCTGGACAACAGTGTAGTTAAAGGGGTGAAAAGCAAAATGAAGTAATTATGCCACCTTGAAGAAGTTCCTTCTCCAGCTTTTTTCCATTCAACATATTCAACTTTGGTAACTAAGGCAATTTCATTGATATCATCCTTGCTATTGATGTGCTATAGATTTGAGAAATTCAACCTAGTAAAATAAGGCTATAAACACTTTGAAGACCACATCATGTACAGGAGAATGAAAAAAACCCTGAATTTGCCATGTACAAGATTGAATGATTTTCATGAGCATGAAATCACTGCATTTACTTTGGTAACTGAACATGCTCCACTCTTTTATTAAATCAATTTAATTAAACTACACTTGATTATGGTGGAGTACATTATTAGAGGCAGTTTCCAAGAAAGAATTGTGGACTTGGCAAACTGGTTAATTTCTCTTTAGTTAAATGATGGCTAAAATGAGGGAGATACAGACAAGAACAGTTAAGAATATGGCTTACAAAACTTACCTGCAGATTTCTGAAGAAAAGAAATATAAAAGTTTCTTCTTATTAATAAAGGGAGGAAATGAAGCTGCATCTGTTATAAAAAAAAGAGATGAAAAATGCTAACATTAATATTATGGTAAACATAATTTTAATGTATGCTGCTGATACTCATTCGGTTGGGGTTTACTTTGTTCTGTTTCAATGCTCTGAGCCATAAGTAGACGTAAACAGGCAGCTCTTTCACTGACAATAATGGGAGGTAAACATTCTGCATACCTTGACTCAACCTGTATGCCATTCAAACTAGCCACAATACTTTTCCACAACACAGCTAGTAAGTTAATTAGCATTGTTTAATTCTTGTCATGAAAAAGACTCAACATTTTCCCTGAGAAGAAACAAGCACCATCTGCAAATGGTCACAAGTTAAACATTCTTTCAATGTTCAGAAGTGCTTAATATCAGTCAATTGCTAACCTGCATTGCTACAGGTTAACAATCATTTTAACACAAACCCAGTCTGTTCAAAGTTTGGCAAAGAGGTTAGCAAACTAACCAGATTTGGTGAGTTCACCCACCCAAACATCCGGCTGATACAGCCAAAAGTCTATCACTGGTGTTTCCCAATCCATTGACAAAACAAACAAGGAGCCTTATTTGCAGCATATCTGACTTTAAGACATCTTTTGGCAGAAACATGGAATTTAAGTACACACCTGTACCATTTATCATGTCACAGTAGGCATCATTCCAGTATGAGAGAGAACTAAAAGAGAAACATTCATTTTATTATAATTTGTAAGTTGAATGAAACAGGAAAATATTTAAGAAAACCGCATTTGCACCCCTTCCTTCTAATCCTTTCTGATCTTCCAGCAGGTTTGAGCCAGGCTTGGGTGCTGTGTCTGGGAGATATTTACAGGGCTATTCACTAAAGAGTGAAGAGTTTGGAGAAGGCAGGAGAAGTGAGCAATCTAGGCCAAAATAGCTGATTTGGAATAATTCTCCAGTTCAGCTCACTTTCCAGTTCAGCTATGTTGTCCTAGATTGTTCACTTCTCCTGCCTTCTCCAAACTCTTCACCCTTTTGTGAATAGCCCTGTAAGTCTTACATGCATGTGAGTGAGGATTTATGGTGGTAAGGTTTTGATCATGCAGTAAACTCCCCGTTATCCGGCATCCACAGGGATTGGTAGATTCCAGATAAATGTAGTTTCTGGTTACTTGAGAGTTACTATTAAAAATAGGTCTAACCCCATACTATACCATACCATATCATTAACTCTGTATTAATTTTTATAATGATATTGGATTGCAGTAATCAAAAGCAAATAGACACACTTAAAACAAATTAGGACAAATAGGCACACGATGGTTTCCATAATACATGCCACAGAGCAGCAGAACAATGAGTACACAGGGGATTTTTTTCTGGTTAGATGAGAGTTCTGGTTAGTTGAATACCGGATAACAGATATTTTACTGTATTTGCTTTATATGGACATTAGGTTGAATGTTGACTTTGTCTCATATATCTCTGTCAGATAAAATGTCCACATTTCCTGAGGACTGTGAAACAAGTAGAGTTTCTCCCTTACCCAACTCAGTAATCAGACAATGTGAGTTGTTTGGTTTTTCCACGCTATACTGGGAAATGGCTGACTACGGGTGTACATCAGGGTAGATTATATGTGGAAGTGACCAATTTAACATAATCCATAACATGCAAAAACTGTTTTTAGACATTGGTTTTTATAAATGTCTTTATTATAATAGAATAGATTGTGTTCATGATTTGCATGATCTATCATGATCTATCAGCATAGCACCTGAAAAGTCTGTTCATCTTCTTAATAGCTCACCTTACTTTTTGAATCTTTTAACAGTCTAAAATGTAGTTATTCATTATGTTCAATACATTTTACAGATCTAGCAACAAACACAAAATAGATCATTACAATATTACCTGTGTCCCTTATAATTGGTAATTAAGGCTACTTCCTTGATATCCTTCTTGCCATTAAAGACAGTGTAAGGCCCATCACTTGTTCCATTGTACTGCAAGAAAGGAAATATAGATTGTTCACATATTAAAGCATTCAATACCATATTTAGCAGACAAAAACTAACACACACAAAAATGTGTGTTAGTTTCTGTGGACAGCTAGACTGTTCAGTCCATGAACAGTCTAGCTGTTCATGGATGATTCATCACAAACAGCACCACACATAGTACAGTTTAGCTGGTCAGAGTAGTGTGCATCTAAACCCAAAAGCAAAGGTGTAACATATTGCACATTTCCGGTCCTTAGATGTTGTAGCTGCATATGTTTCATTTTTTTCAGGCTTTTTTTAATTTCACATGGTGATCATGCAAGTAACACTCTTCCCCTCGATGAGAGACAACGCTCACTCAACATATTGTATCCATGGAGGAGCACTGTTGTCACCCTAGAACATGAAGTGTTTTAGGGCTGAAGAACACTTTCCTATTTCCACTTTTTCCGTGGACCTTATGTAATTTAGTGCAGTCCTAAAAAAAATCTATATGTGCTAGTAATGTTGCTGATTATTAACAGGGTTATTCACAAAAGGGTGAAGAGTATGGAGAAGGCAGGAGAAGTGAACAATCTAGGACAACATAGCTGATTTGGAAAAATTCTCCAATTCAGCTCACTTTCCAGTTCTGCTATGTTGTCCTAGATTGTTCACTTCTCCTGCCTTCTCCAAACTCTTCACCCTTTTGTGAATAACTAGACATGTAAGGGCAGGAAAGGGGGGGACGAATGAGCGCCCCCCCCTCCCTGCGCCTTACCAGGCCACGTGCCCTTGGCATTGGGAGGGTGTCCCCATGCCGATGGGGACAAGGGCCTCTTCCCCACAACCCTGACAGGTGGTTGTGGGGGTCTGCGGGCAAGGGGGCCTATTTGCATCGGGGTACCCCTTTAAATAAGGGGGCACCCAGATTAAGGGGTACTTGTACCCCTACCCATTCACTAAAGGGTTAAATCAAATAGTTAGTAAAAAGTCCAGACTGTTGACAAAATCCTTTAATTGAAAAAAACACAGTACATTTTTGACTATTCCTTTAAAATTTAAATGGCTCCATCGATGTAATCCAGAGTCAATCAGGATGCAGGACCCCCGCCGACCCGCTGAAATAAAAAAAGTCCCGCCACAGACGACCACCCGAACCCGACGAAAACTCGCCGCAAAAATGACATTCAGCCCGAATGTCAACAGATAGGCGGAGCGAGCCATGATGTCCGAATGCTGTTGTAAGAAACTCACTCGTTCCCGTCCCGGGGCTGCGAGCTGGGTCTGCGCAGGCGCACGATGGGCTGCAGCGGCTCCCTCCGGCGCAAGTGCACGGCGTCCATCAGCTCCTCCCCCGGCGCACGCGACGCGGCCTCCTTAAGCCGCGATCATACGAACAGTCGGCGTCCTACTGTTTGTAACAGTGAACGCAGACTGTTCACAATCTGCACCCGACTGGAGCTAAAGTCAGTGAACCACAGCAACCTGCATACCTCCACACAGCCGGGACCGCCGACCACCACCAGGACCCACATCTTCCTTAAAGCGACAGCACCTGCAACCATACTAATAACATTGCTGTGTACACTGCCTGTCATCTGTCATCCACCAAAGAGGAACTATCCTTAGCTCTTCAGACTAGTGCTGCAGATACCGATACATTGGGGGCAACCCTTCACCTAGCAGGGTGCACTTGGGGTTAGCACTACCGCATAACCACGCCATCTCCTACGGTTCTAAATGATGTTACTGGTCTCATATACATCTCTAATCAATTGAGAGAGTATCCCTGAGACCAACCACTGAGAGAACTGTTCTCGCTTCCCTGCAGTTGTGATCCAAGCTTTAGGGTGCAGAGAAGCTTACAGAACAGTAGGACCTAAAAAATGGATCCAGCAGAGGTCGCAGGTCCTATAATGACCCTAACCCAGCGCATGGATGCTCTCACGCAACATGTAAAGACCTTGAGACAAGAAAACCAAAACCTCAAGGCTCTCCTAACACAGCAGAAAGATCTGAACCATGCCCCAGAACCAAAGGTCAGTCCCCCTGACTTGTTCTATGGGGACCGTAGACTGTATCGAGAATTCACCAATACTTGTGCCTTGCTATTTAGCTTAAGAACGAGAACCGAGAACATACCCCCCCCGACCGGATAAAGGTCCTCACCACCATCTCCTACCTCAGAGGTTAGCCCAGAGCTTGGGCAACCACATATGTGGAGAAAGAGGACCCCATCCTCAACTCCTACCCTCAGTTCCTCGAAGCCATGAATCTGCTCTATGAGGATCCCAGTAAACAGATCACGGCAGAGTTGGCTATTGGAGGGTTAAAACAGGGTGGGAGACCCGTAGAGGATTTCATAGTCAAATTCAAGAGGTGGGCCAGAGAGGCTGAATGGAATGACTTAAGTCTCCGAAACCAGTTCAGACTAGGCCTTTCTGACTCCCTCAAGGATGAACTAGCCAGGTTCGATCTTCCACCCACTCTGGAACGTAGTTGGAGAGAGTGACCGGTATCCCTGCCAGTCCCCGCAGACCAACCCAAGCCACAGGGGAAGAACCGATGGAGATCGGTACCATTAGAGGTCCCTTAACCCAAACAGAGAAGGAAAGGAGGAGGACCCTAAAGCTGTGCTTATACTGCGCAGCCTCTGATCATCTGGTAGAAGACTGTCCCTCCATCCAAAAGAGGTCTGGAGGTAAGAAGAGTCTACCCATCCACACCACAACAGTTCCCCCTCTTCCCCAACCTTACCTATATCTTTCCCTTAGCTTACAGTGGGAAAACAACAGAGTTCCCGTTAAAGCCATGGTGGACACAGGAGCGAGCGGGAACTTCATCGATGCACAACTTGTACATCAGAATAAAATTCCTTCCTGCAAAAAAGCAACCCCTGTGTCTGTCAGTTTTGTTGATGGTTCCACTCTAACTTCAGGGCCAATCGTTTATCAGACACAACCCTTGCTAGTTAGTGGGCCACATAACCATACCGAGTACCTCTCATTCGACGTTATCACATCTTCCACCTTCCCTATCATCCTGGGCCTCCCCTGGTTGAGGACTCACAATCCATCCATATGTTGGAAGGGGAATACGTTCCTTCTTGACTCGAATATTGCAAAAATACCTGTTTTCCTTTTAAAACCCTCCTACAGCTATCATGTCAGTCCCTTCCCAAGCAGTACGAGGAGTTCTCGGATGTCTTCAACAAGAAGTTGGCAGAGACCCTGCCTCCACACCGGTCTTACGACTGTCCCATCGACCTGGTCCAAGGAAGTAGCCTTCCCACCAGGAGGATATTCCCCCTTTCTCAACCGGATCTAGAACACCTCAAGCAGTATCTCAACGAGAACCTACGGAAAGGATTCATCCGCCCTTCCACCGCGACTGTGGGAGCAGGAATGTTCTTCGTGCGAAATAAGGATAAGAGCCTCCGGCCCATCGTAGACTACAGATCCCTCAACAACATCACCATTAAAAACCGTTACCCTCTCCCACTAATACCCGAACTCATTGAAAGATTACAAACCTCCAAGATATTCACCAAACTGGACCTCCGAGGTGCATACAACCTCATACGCATGAGGGAGGGGGACGAATGGAAGACAGCTTTCAGGACCAGGTAAGGCCTCTTTGAATATACTGTGATGCCATTCGGGTTGTGCAATGCCCCCGCGACATTTCAATGTTTCATTAATGACATTTTCCGAGATTTGTTAGACGTTTGTGTTGTAGTGTATCTCGACGATATTCTCATTTACTCCGAGAATATCCAGGACCATAGGAAACACGTGAGATGGATTCTGACCAGACTGAGGGCTCACCAATTGTACGCTAAACTGGAGAAGTGCGTTTTTGAGACCAACACCATCCCTTTCTTAGGATATATCATATCACCAGAGGGCATTCAGATGGACCAGGCGAAAGTAGAGTGTATCCGGAACTGGCCAGTACCCCAAAACCGAAAGGCACTCCAGCGTTTCCTTGGGTTCGCAAATTTCTACAGGAAATTCATCCTGAATTTCTCTGCTGTAGTACGGCCCCTAACCAAACTCACCAGCTCCAAAACTAGATATCGATGGGAGACTGACTCACAGCAAGCATTCGAAGACCTGAAGAAGCGCTTCGTGACAGCACCCATTCTCGAGATACCAAATCCACAGTATCACTACGTTCTGGAGGTGGACGCCTCCCACACAGCGATCGGAGCGATCCTCTCACAGAGATCCTCTCTGATAACACTGCTACACCCAGTGGCCTTCTTTTCCCGCACCTTGAACCCTGCGGAGGTCAACTATCCCATAGGTGAGAAAGAGCTGCTCGCCATAAAGGGAGCTCTGGAGAATTGGCGCCACCTCCTAGAGGGCACCAAACATCCCATCATGATCTATACGGACCATAGGAATCTACAATTCCTCAAGATCAGCAAGTCTCTCTCCTCCCGCCAGGTGAGATGGAGTTTCTTCTTCGACAGGTTCAACTTTATTATTACCTACCGGCCGGGATCGAAGAACGGTAAAGCCAACTCCCTCTCTAGGATGGAGGAGAAGGAGACAACCGAGGTAGTCCCCACCTCCATCATTCCTCAGGAGAAGCTACTTATGGTGTCGCTTAACCTTACACACCAGCTAGGAGAAGAATTGGAGACTGCTGACCTTCCTCCCGAACCGTCCCTCAGGAAGGACGCTGAAGGACTAGTATACAAACACTCCCAACTCTTCGTTCCACCCTCACTACAAGTGCTCATACTCAAGATGTTGCATGATGCCCCTCTATCAGGACATCCTGGAGTTTCCAAAACCCTGACCCTAGTCAAGAGATACTTTTGGTGGCCGGGAATGCACCGCACCATCAAGGAATACGTTGCCTCATGTGAGACTTGTGCGTCGTGCAAACATGAGAGGAAGAAACCCTACGGTCTACTGATGAGTCTTCCCATACCCTCCAGACCTTGGGAAACTATATCAATCGATTTCATCGTGGAGCTACCCCCCTCCTTCGGTCACAACACCATAATGGTGGTGGTTGATCTCCTTACAAAGATGGCTCACTTCGTCGCCATGAAAAGGCTTCCCTCCTCATCCGACACCGCAACCTCCTTTACGCGAGAAGTTGTGAGGTTACATGGAATACCTACACAAATAATATCCGACAGAGGGGTCCAATTCGTTTCACACTTCTGGAAGGCACTGTGCTCTAAACTCGGAATAGACCATCGGATGTCCAGTGGGTATCATCCCCAGACGAATGGTCAGATGGAGAGAACAAACCAATGCCTGGAACAATACCTTAGGTGTTATTGCACCTATCTACAGGATGATTGGTGGGAGCTGCTTCCCCTGGCAGAATTCTGCTACAACAACACCACCAGCTCCATTCACCTTTCCAGGCTAACTACGGGTTCCACCCCTCCATCCTCCCTCCTGCATCAATACCCACAAATGTTCCGGCGGCTGAGGACTACGTAGCAAATCTCCGGGGAATTGCAGCAACCCTCCAGCAAAGCATTTCAGACGCACAGAGAGACCAAAAGAAGTTCTACAATCTCCATCGACGACCCTCACCCCGTTATCAAGTCGGGGACAAGGTGTGGTTGTCTACAAAAAACCTCAGGATGAGACTTCCTTCCAAGAAATTGGGCAATCTCTATGTGGGGCCCTACCCCATAGAGACCATCATAAACGAGAATACTGTTCGCCTCACCCTTCCGCAAGATTGGAAAGTACACCCGACCTTCCATGTGTCCCTACTCAAGCCGTATGAGCCAAGTCGGTTCCCCGATAGGAATCCTATTCTGGCTCCGGCCATTCAGGTTCAAAGGGAAGACGAATACGAGATTGAGAAGATCCTTGACTCCAGAAGACACCGACGCCGGATGCAGTACTTCATAAGATGGAAGGGATATGGTCCCCAGGAAGATTCTTGGGAGGACGGTGATGATGTCCACGCTCCTAGGATGGTGAGGGAGTTCCACCGCAGATA